CTCTCTCCCTCTCCGGGACAGACTGTGCCGGATCTCTCTCTCCCTTTCTCTGGGGTAGGCTGTGCTGGATTTCTTTCTCCCTCTTTCTGGGACAGACTGTGTTGGATCTCCCCCTCTCTCTGGGACTGACTATGCTGGATCTCCCCTTCTCTCCGGGACAGACTGTCCTGGAACGCTTTCCCTGTGTGAGACTGTGCTGGATCTCTCTCTCTCTCTGGGACAGACTGCGCCGGATCTCTCTCTCTCTGGGACAGACTGCGCTGGATCTCTCTCTCTCTCTGGGACAGACTGCGCTGGATCTCTCTCTCTCTGGGACAGACTGCGCTGGAACTCTTTCCCTGGGTCAGACTGTGCAGGATCTCTCTCTCTGGGACAGACTGTGCTGGATCTCTCTCTCCCTTTCTCTGGGATAGCCTATGCTGGATTTCCCTCTCCCTCTCTCTGGGACAGACTGTTGGATCTCTGCCTCTCTCTGGGACAGACTGTGCTGGATCTCCCCCCTCTCTCTGGGACAGACTGTCCTGGAACGCTTTCCCTGGGTGAGACTGTGCTTGATCTCTCTCCCTCTCTCTGGGACAGACTGTGTTGGATCTCCCCCTCTCACTGGGACAGACTGTGCTGGATTTCCCCCTCTCTCCCTTCCTCTGGGACAAACTCTGCTGGATCTCTCTTTCCCCCTCTCTCTGGGTCAGACTGTGCTAGATCTTTCTCCCACGCTCTCTGGGACAGACTGCGCTGGATCTCTCTCTTCCTCTTTCTCTCGGACAGACTGTCCTGGAATTCTTTCCCTGGGTCAGACTGTGCTGAATCTCTCTCCCTCGCCCTCTAGGCCAGATTGGGCCGGATCTCTGTCTCCCTTTCTCTAGGACAGGTCGTGCTGAATTTCTCTCTCTGGAACGTACTGTGCTGGATCTCTCCCTCTCTCTGGGTCACCCTGTGCTGGGATTCCCCCTGTCTCTCTCTGGGGCAGACTGTGCTGTTTACGGTACCTTTGAAGGGAATTTGCTGCCCTACCCCTTCACAGAGACTACAACCGTTTCCATCCGGCCCTGTGCCCCAATTTACCTCATTGTCTATTAGTGCCTCGACCCGCGGATCGCTGTGGGACATCCTGGGGATGTCCTTGGTGGTGAAGGTGTACTTCCTCAGCTGAACTTCGCTCCATTGCCGGTTTGCATCTGCACTCCGCTCCGCCATGTCCCGTCGCCGCTTCCCCAGGAGTCTGGCTCCGTGACCGACACCCACCAACCGACAGCCTCCCTTCACTTCAAATCCGCAAACAACCGTGAGCGCTCACGGGAACCACAACGCCGCCGAACTCGAGAGCCGGGACAGGGCACTGCGGCCTCGACTGAAACCAGTCACCTTCCGCCACACCGCCCCCGCTTGTCCGGAGGACTACATAGCTGACCACGGCTTCATCCCGGCGAGGAGCAAGTGACAGAAACTGAGCGCAGCCCGCCCCCTGGAGGCCGGGACGAATCCGTCCATCACTGAGGGTCCGCTGAACGCAGCATCACACGTCGCTCAATACGCATGCGTACGACTGCCCCTAGAGAGTCCAGCGCCTGCGCAGTGAATGATTTATCCCATCCGCCCCATCTGTATCCGATCTCTGAGCCTGCGCTGTAAAGGGAAGAGAAATGGCGTTGAGCGGTTGTTGGCTTCGTTGTCTGAGTCGGGGCGTAGGGAAAAGCCTGCAATTGGTAGGGAGCTCGGACAAATATGTCCGGGCTGGTGAGTACTGGTCATTAAATCCTTTGTCATAAAAGTCGACAGTAATGTGGGAGTCAATGAAAGTGCGGTAACCTTGGGACAGTTAGGGGTCAGCTTTAGGTACGGGACATTTCTATAGCAAATAAAAACCAAAAGAACCGCAGATGCTGTAAATCAGGAACAAAAACAAAGTTGCTGGAAAAGCTCAGCAGGTCTGGCAGCATCTGTGGAGGAGAAAACAGAGTTAACGTTTCGGGTCGGTGACCCTTCCTCAGAACACATTTCTAAAACATCCCTACGATGCGGAAGCAGGCCATTCGGCCCTACTAGTTCACACTGACTCTCTGAACAGCATCCCACCCAAACTCACCCCCCTACCCTTTCCCTGTAACCCTGCATTTCCCGTGGCTAATACACACCCCTGGACACTATGGGCAATTTAGCATAACCAATCCATCTAACTTGCACATCTTTGGACCGTGGGAGGAAACCGGAGCACCTGACAGAAACCCACGCAGATACAGACAATGTGTAAGCTCCACAACGACCGTCGCCTGATGGTCCGTGGCGCTGGGAGGCAGCAGTGCTGCCACTGTGCCACCCCATTTGAATCAACCTCAGATGTTCACTGTCCATCAAAGCTGACAGGTGGATGCAATGGCGGATGTTAGGTTTATTATCAGTAGGAGGTTGCAAAACGATCTAAAACCAGGTCTATAACCTCTCATTGATAATCTCAACCTGGCAGAGTAGAGTAGTAGCATTAATGCCTTAGTGAGAAACCCATAGATTAAATTCTTAGTTCACACATTTCCACACCTAAAGAGGGCTAATATTTCAGGTTATCTTTTGGATAAGATGTTAATCTGAGTCATTATCTATCTGTTCAGGTGTCTGTAAAGTGTGCTGGTTAACATCCATTCCTCAAAGAGCACCAGTGGCACCCTTATTTAAATTGTACTGTGGGTACACTGATAATGAGACTTGAAATTGAAAGAGCAAAATTAATTCTTAAAAAGTGACACCATGGAAAGGTAATAGTGGCACGTTTTCCATTTAATCAGAGATATAACAGTACAGATAAAGCTATAAGGGAAAAGTAGAGACCAATGGAAAGAGAGCTGTTAGTGTCCAATGTCATCAAATGGTGGTAGGTAACAATTGATGTGAGGATGGGGTAAGACAGATGAACATGGCAAACCATGATAGCAAATCTCATGGCAGAAGTGGTTACAAGTAGAAGTTTGAAATTTAAAACAAAGGCAGAAAATATTGGACATACTCAGTGGGTCAGGCAGCATCTGCAGAAAGAAACAGTCTTAACATTTCAGGTCAATTATTGAGCTGCTGAGTATTTCCAGCGTTTTGTACTTTAATATGTCAATATGTCTTTAAATGGTCCCTTCAACATTACTATGTGATATAAGATGTTTGCCAGAGGTGTTCAAAAAGATGAACTGAAAGGGAGATATTAGGGAAGGTGACCAAAAGATCGATACAGATGCTGCTTTCAGCAAAGTCTTAAAGATGTGTCAAGACAGTAGGGATGAGGAGCAGAATTCCAGATCTATCTATCTTCCCATGTTCCCTGCTGAAAGGCAAATCTGACTCAATCATGCCAAGATCTCCACTGCGACTAAGGCAAGGATGCTGGTCCTGAATGAATCCCAGCCACTGCTGCGATCAAACCCAATGTTCTGTGTACCAACCTGGCCATCCGGCCTATTGAGCCAACTGCTCCCTATCTCCATTCCCCCAATGAGTTGAATTACTGTGTCAGCATACAACTTTACATCTGTGTTGTATTTTGGAGATTTGGATAATGAGGGCACAAGTTCCAATTTTCTTGTAATCACATAACTGAGGAGCAATCTTTCTGGCTCCTAACTCCCTGCCATTGGTATGTGTTGGGTGGATATGCAGGTTGACACTCAACGGGTTTGGTTGTGTTATGAATGCACCTTCTGTGGTGAAATTCTAGATCATGAAAGCAAATATTTACAGCATAGAAGAAGACTCTTCAACCCACCAGGTCTGTGCTAGCTGACAAAGAATGATTATGTCCAATCCATTTTCTAGTTCTCAGGTCTATAATCTTGTAGTAACAGCCCTTTTGAGGGTTTCTGCCTTTACCACACTTTCAGGTAGTGAGTGATTATAGACCTAAGTCATCTTAAGTCATTGCAAGGATGAAATGAAGAGGGAGGGGGTATAATGCAGAAAAGAACAGTAAAAACAAAAAGGTCATGGTAGATGTACAGCTACAAGAGGTTACTGCAATATGGTGGGGTGAGATCATTGAAGGAATTTAAACACAAGAATTGTCATTTTAAGTTAGGTAACAAGGTGTAGGGCTGGATGAACACAGCAGGCCAAGCAGCATCAGAGGAGCAGGAAGGCTGACGTTTCGGGCCTAGACCCTTCAGAAAATGTAATTTTTAAGTTAGGTGTTTTGGAACTAGGATTCAGTGAGAATAGAGGTGATTGCATCAGAATTTGTGTGAAATAGGTTGGAAGCATTGTTGGATAAATACCAGTTTACAGCGGGTGAAAGAGATATGATGGATGGGTGAGCTTTGGGAAAGTTTAGTCTGAACATGAGAAGGGCATAGAAGAGGTCTTTAGCAGCAGGTGGAGTAAGGTGGATGGGAGAAGGGCTATGTTGTTCGGGGTGTGCTACAGGTTCACTTCTGAATTCTGTTTTCCAGCAATGTGTATTTTCACATGCATGTTGGACTGTAGACTGGAACTATAGACATATTTCTTTACACTCCATGGCAGACCAAAATCCCATCTGCTCTTGCTGCCTGTCTTTAGTGTGTGTTGTAAGTTTTCACAGGTTGATAATGAACCTGTTTGGCTGTATTATGATTGCACCTCCTTTGGGCGCCTGAACCCAGAATTTCTGGTCTAGAGGTAGGGACTTTACTAATTGTGTCATGAGACCTCAGGTTATACAGGTAGAAATAGTGGATTTGGGGTAGGAACTTCATCTCTGAGTCAAATAAGATGCTGAGGTTTCAAGCTTCTTGGTGCAGCCTGGGACTGTACTGGGTGATGTAAATAGAATTTTTAAAAATTCCTTCATTGGCTTTGGGTGGCATGGCCACCAGATGTTGCCCAATCCTAATTGCCCTTGAGATGTTGGTAGTGAGCCACCTTCTTGAAGCACTGCATTCTTTTTGTTGAGTGTGGAAGGACTTGAATAGATGACAAGGGGAGTTAAAAGTTAATCTCATTGCTGTGGGTCTGAATTGTAATGTGGGCCAGGCAAGGTGGGGAGAGCAGATTTCCTGCAGGGCAGTAGTGAACCATATGTTTTTATGTAACCAGTGAACGTTTCATAGTGACTATCGCTAATAGTCTCACTAGTATCCATGGTAGGTTTCAGACCTGTCTCTACAGTATCAGGCTGGGTGTCAAAATTACTAGTCTAGATTACTACCATCTCCTGTGAGAAGGGTAGCAAACTTGGCCGCTCACCCAGCATTCTCAACAAAAGAACCTATTTTCACAAGGGAGTTATCTGGGAGTGGGAGAATTTTACACAGCGCTAATAAATGTTGGTAATAGCTGTTGTCCTCCTGCTCCTGTGTCTCTGTCTGCAGTTATCAAAGTGTGTGCCACTAAACCATGTTCTGCCTCCTAGACAGGAATGGGAGATGCATCATTGAAAAAGGGCAGGTGAAAGGTTCACTTTGTTATTTTTGTTAATGCTTTGTGTTTTTCTTTGCAGCCTCTAGTATTTCTAAGGATATGCTGCCAGGTCCATATCCCAGCACGCCAGAGGAAAGAGCACAAGCAGCAAAAAAATACAATATGAGGGTGGAAGATTATGAGCCATATCCTGATGATGGAATGGGGTGAGTTTATTTCTGTAAAACAAGTTTCCTATTACATAAGGAAAATCAGATGTGTACCAAACTTTCACACATTGGTAGGAAAATACATAATCAAATGCTCCTGCAGCAAACTTTTTAAAGTTCATTCACAGGATGTGGGCATTGTTGACATTTATTGCACATCCTCAGTTGACCTTGAAAAGGTGATAAGGAGCTGCATTCTTTAATACAATTGACTGTGTTCCTAGAGATTTCAGTGTCACCCACAATTCTGAGAATCTGCATCAATAGGCCAGATTCTCAAATGTGGGTGACACTAAAAATTTCCTTCCTGGGGGGGACATTTTGAGCAATTTGTTCTTTGTGTTTTGGCAAACCAGTAGAGTATAAAACATAGGAGCAAAAATCAGCCATTTGACCCACTTGCTGAGATTGTGGTTGATTTGGTAATCCTCAACTCTACTTTTCTGCCTTATGCCTATAATCCTTAATCCCATTAAAAATATGTCTATCTCAGGCTTGAATACACTTAAAACCAAGCCTCAATAGCCTTCTGCAATAAAGAATTCCGCAGATTCACTAGCTCCTGAGAGAAGTAATTTCTCCTCATCTCTGTCGTACCCTAACACCTGCAATTATGTCTTCTGGCCCTAGAATCTCCAACAGGAGAAGAACCTTTCCACATCTATCCTTTTAAGCCCCCTAGGAATCTTCATGTTTCGATAAGGTCTCCTGTCATTCTGTAAAACTGAGTACAAGGCTAATCTATTCAACCTCTCCTCGTAGATAATCCTTCTACATCTGAGATTAGCATAGTGAACCTTCTCTGGACTGCCTTCAATGATTGTATATCTTCCATTAGAAATTGGGACAAAAATGTCTATAATATTTTAGCTGTGTCTGACCAGTGCTTGAATAGTTTTAGCAAGAAATCCCTATTTTTATACATTATTCCGTTTTGAAATAAAGACTAATATTCTATTTGCTTTCCTTATTACCTGCTGAATTAGACGCTAGCCTTTTGTGATTCCTGCATGAGAAACCCCAAATCCCTCTGTGCTACAGCTTTCTGTAGTCTTCCCCTTTAAATAATATTCAGCTCTTCTATTCTTCCTGCCAAAGTGCACAATTTCACATTTTCCCACTTGTATTCCATCTGCCAAGTTATTGCCTACTTGCTCAACCTGTCTGTATCCTTCTCTCGACTCCATGTCCGCTTCACCACCTGTCTTCCTTTGTGTCATTTGCAAACTTTCAATTTCCTGATCCACATCATTAGTAATAAATAACTGTGGCCACAGCATTGATCCTTGTGGCACTCCAGTGGTTACAGGTTGTTCTCCTGAAAATGCCCCTTTTCCCCAGGTCTCTGTCTTCTATTAGTTAGCCAATCCTCTATACATGTTAATTTACTATCCCAAACACCATGGGGTGTTATTATGTATAATTAGCTTATGTCATGACTTTTGGAATTCCAAATGTTACATCTACTGCTTCCCCCTTTTTTTTAATCGTGTTTGTGACCTCCTCAAGGAACACTAATAAATTTGTCAGGCATGATTTTCCCTTCATGAAGCCATGTTGACACTGCTTGATTATATTCTGTATTTCTAAGTGCTCTGTTTTCTCCTATATGATTTATGCTAACATTTTTCCAATAACACATGTTATGCTAATTTGCCAGTAGTTTCATGGGAGATGCACACGGGGAGAATGAGGACATGAAAGCGAGGATTGACAGAGGGAAGGAAGGATTTATTTTGAAAGAGGGTCTGAAACAAACCACTAAAGCAGTGAGAGAAGTGGGTATGAGAAGGAGAGAGAGAGAATAGATAAACTGGAAAACAAATAGAAAGGTGGTAGAAGATGGAAAAAAGTTATTACAAGTTAAGAGATGCAAAAAGATAGTGAGACAATGATATTTTATAAGGTATTTTTGTCCATCAACAGTGCTGGAAGATATTAAATCAGGCTTTTGAAACAAAACGAATTGAGTACATATGTGCAAATTTTGCAGATGTGCTGACTTGCAGAGGATAGATCCTGGGTTCCTGTGAAGTGCAGGAATTTATCGAATTGAATAACAACAGTAAAGTCTGCTGGATAAATATCCCATTTAATTGGACTTCAATTTAGTTTCTCTGTACAAGAAAAACTATTGATGTGATAAAGAAAATAAAAAGATAGCAGATTTTCCGATGAATATTTTGTAGGGGTCCAAATACCTGTTCGTAGAAATAATTTCACTGGAAAATTAGCTCTGTGGTTATAGTCTGCTGGACACTGCACCTGGACTATTGTGTTTTTTTCATTTTACATTGACCATTGTTCACTTCCCTTCTGTTTTCTGTCCTATGCTGGTCAGATCCAGCATAACTATTTCAGTTTCAGTCAAAGTTATTTTAGACTAAAGCTACAAGTTTAGTTTTCTCATAACAGATTTGGGGACTATCCAAAACTACCAGACCGGTCGCAACAAGAGCGAGATCCTTGGTACACATGGGATGAGCCCGACCTGCGAAGAAACTGGGGTGAACCGGTAATCCTGAGTATCCATGTAGTATTCCTGCCCAGTTGGCTCCAAGTTTATATTTCTGTAAAGTATTGAATATTTCTGAAGCCTAGTCCTTTAGTTATTGTAATGTTCCAAGAAAATAATAGTTCAAAAAATCCCAAGTGTTTTTCTATTTAACTTTATATTTGTATCATAGTTCACACCTAATCCCAATTCACTATGGGCTTGTGCAGTTTAAAGCAAGGATCATTGGACACCAATTATGAGTGAGGGAACATGTTTTTTTTTCATGATCAGTTAATTAGGTGAAAACTGAGAATCAAACATTGACTCTTCCTGGCCGTACGCGTCAGTGCCTGATATGTTGGCTAAAATAAAAGACAGAAGGTGAGATCTTGCATTTATAAAGCACCTTGATGACCTCAGAGTGTCCAGAAATGCTTCACCGTCACGTCTCCAAATAGTTGACTATTATGTTAGGGAAAGGTTCATGCATGTTCACAGAGCAGGGCTTCACTAACAGTACCAAGGAGAATGACCAACCAATTTGTTTAGATATTGGTTCAGAGATAAATGTTGGCTGGGCCATTGGTGCAACATCTGGAAGAGTTACTATGGAATATTTTGCATCTGCTTGATCAACCATACAGGATAGCACTTCAGTTTACCATCGTAGCAAAAAGATGGTACCTCTGATGATGCAGCACTCCCTCAGCATGCACTGATTTGGCAGACTGAAATTATGGCCTCAAGTTCATGCAGTTAAATTTGAATTTCCAATATAAGTGTGTTACCAGAAAAACTGCATATGACTGAAATAATTTTAAAGTTTTAATGAAGTTCAGAGTAGTGGATCAGTATCATTTGTTAGCATTTTGTCTCTTATGCAGGAAGTGTTAGTTTTGAGTCCCACAACAAACCTCGAGCATGTGATATGTGTGCTAAGTACACTGCAGTAATAAGGAAAGCTTGCATTCTGTGAAGTACCATTTGACTGCTTCAAACGTAAAGATATTGTAAGAAAAGCTGAAGATTTTCTTGATTTTAGCCAAGATACACTGGCAAGGCAGCCGAGTCACTGTTCAGTTTTTCAGTGTCATCAAATGATTTCAATGTGTTGCCCATCTAACAATAGTCTGCACAGTCTTCAAGTACCTCTTTTTTTATGTGGGTTACTTTGCTATACTTGGATGCTTTGATAAGGTGACATTTAACGTAAGCTTTTAAAATTCTACTTTAAATTTTATTTAATTTTTAAAATTGCTTTTTCCAGATGCACTGGGATTTTGACATGTTCATTAGGAATCGTGTGGACACCTCTCCAGGTCCTGTAGACTGGAGTACTATGGTCAAAACGTTGGGTGGCTTTGTAGGCTTTATGCTGTTCATGTTCTTCCTCGGGGAGTTATTTCCTTCATATCAGCCTGTGGTAAGGGTCTTAGCTGAGTTAACCTCTCATTATCTTATTCTGTCTTATTGATTTACTATGTTCAATGCTGCTGTGAACTTTGTTCTTTTAAAGCTGCAAACACACCACCCTAGATGATTCTCCATTTCACCGTATCCAAACTATACATGTTGGTGTGTTCGCTGAGCTGGGAGTTTTGATAACAAACATTTTTTCCCCTTTCTAGGTGACATCCTCAGTGCTGTGGAGCCTCCTGTGAAGCACTGTTGTCTTGTGCCAGTTCAAGTTTATATGGTCAGGTTTTTGCTGCTTCCAGTAGATCCCGGTCCCGGTTGTGCGTTGTTATGGTCGGTATATTGGGCCTAATTCACTGTGTTTGTTGATAGAGTCCACGGATGAATGCCAAGTGTCCAAGAATTCCCTGGCTGTCCTCTGTTTGGCTTGTCTCAGGATAGTAATGTTGTCCCAGTTGAAAGTGTAGTTTTTCTCATCTGTATATATTGAAACTAAGGACATCTGGTTGTGTTGTTTAGTTGCTAGCTGGTTTTTGTGGATGCGGGTTGCTAGTTATCTGCCTGTTTGTCCCACGTAGTTTTGTGCCGTCTCCGCATGGTATCTTGTAACCCATATTCGTCCTGTCAATGGTATCTATTGGGTCTTAAACCCTGGTTGGTTGCTGTCTTAGTGTGGCTGCCGGTTTGTGTGCTGTCATGATTCCTAGTGGTTTGACTAGTCTGGCTGTCAGTTTGGAGGTGTTTTTTATATATGATGAGGTGGTTATTGTTTCAGGTTTTGGTGTGTCCTGGTTGTGTTGTCTGTTGGCTAGGCATCTGTGGATGAAGCTGCGGGGGTATCCATTCCTGGTAAAGACCTTTTACAGGTCCAACCCAAGCTCTGGATCAGATACGTGGACGACACTTTTGTAATTATGAAAAGAACAGAAATTGAGAACACCCGCCAACTCATCAACACCATACTCACAGGGATCTAATTTACAAGAGAGGAGGAAAACAACAACAAACTCCCATTCCTGGACAAGATGGTGGAAAGAAAAGAGAACAGTGTCTTCACTACAAAAATATACAGGAAATCCACACATACTGACCAGGTCTTAAACTATCACAGCAACCTCCCCAACTCTCACAAAAGGAGCTACATTAGGACCCTGTTCAAATGGGCTGCTACACGCTGCAGCACACCCGATCTACAGAAGGAAGAACACCTCTACAAAGTCTTTACCAGGAATGGATACCCCCGCAGCTTCATCCACAGATGCCTAGCCAAGAGACAACACAACCAGGACACACCAAAACCCAAAACAATAACCATCTTATCATATATAAAAAACACCTCAGAACTGACAGCCAGACTAAGACCACAAGGAATGATTACAGCACACAAACCGGCAGCCACATTAAGACAGCAACTGACCAGGGTAAAGACCCAATAGATACAATGGACAGGACGAATGTGGTTTACAAGATACCATGCGGAGACTGTTTTAAAAAAAAAAGTGAGACAAACAGGCAGACAACTAGCAACCCGCATCCACGAACACCAGCTAGCAACTAAATGACACTACCAGGTGTTCTTAGTTTCAATACACACAGACGAAAAAAACCACACTTTCAACTGGGACAACACTACTGTCATAGGACAAGCCAAACAGAGGACAGCTAGGGAATTCTGGGAGGCTTGGCATTCATCCACAGACACCATGAACAAACACATTGAATTAGAGCCGGTATGCTGACCATTACAACGCACTAGCGGAAGCAGCAAAAACGTGACCATATAAATTTGAACCGGCACAAGACAACAGCACTCCACAGCACTGAGGATGTCACCTACAAAGGGGACAAAACATCTGCTATCAAACCTCTCAGCTCAGCGAACACACCAACATCTAAAACCAGCACCCGAGCTACAAATCTTCACTCAACCCTGAATATCCAAGCTATACTGAAATTAACACATTCTCAGTCACAGACCAGCAAACTTCTCTGCTGGAAATCTGAAATAGAAAATGCTAGAGATACTGAGGGTTTAGGAGGGATATAAGCCAAATTCTGGCAAATGGAACATAGATTAATTTAGGATATCTTGCTCAGTATCTCTATCTCTGTAGCAAGAGAAACGGTGAATGTTTCCATTTGATTTTAAAAAAAGTGAAGAGATATAAACAGTTCTTAAGTGTGTATTGAGATAGGGGAAGGGAGGAAAGAGCACAAGGGAAGGTCTCTGATGGATTTGGAAAGCAGAAGAGGTAACTGACAAAAGGGTACAAGGTACAATGAAAGAAGTAGAGAAACAAATGCTGGATCGAGAGGACATATAATTGGCGATAACAGAATTATCACTGACATATTTTACTTGAAAAATTAAAAATGGTTGTGATCTGAAATTAAATTCAAAGTTGAATGGAGTGTTAAAGTGTCAAGTTGAAGATGCTGGGCCAGATGCTATGTAGTCATGCAGTTTTACAGCATGGAACTAGACCCTTTGGTTCAACCCTTCCATGCCGACCAGATATCCTAAATTAATCTAGGTCCCATTTGCCAGAATTTGGCTTATATCCCTTTTAAATCCTTAAGTCCAATTTGTAATTGGTATTGTGCAAGAGATTCTTAGATCTTCATATTTTTGCATTGCAAACATATCTGTGGACGTTGAGTGAGAGTTGGATTGGGAAGTGTATTACCCTGTCTGAGTTGAACACTTTATTGGCACTCACTATCAAGGCTCATGGACTGCCCCACAAGGAAAAATATCCTTTCCATGTCCACCTGGTCAAGACCATTCAGGGCCCTACACACTTCAACAGAACAGAGAGACCAGGGGGTTCAGGTACATAGTTTATTGAAAATTATGTCACAGGTAGACAGGGGTGTAAAGAAGGCATTTCAAACATTTGCCTTCATTGCTCAGACCGTTGAGTTTAGGAGTTGAGATGTCATGTTACAGCTGTACAGGACTTTGTGAGGCCACTTTTGGAGTACTGTGTACAATGCTGGTTGCCCTGCTATAGGAAGGACACTCTTAAATTAGAAAGGGTACAGAAAAGATTTATTAGGATGTTGCCTGGACTGGAGGGCTTGAGTTATAAGGAGAGGCTGGGACTTTTTTTTTCCTGGAACGTAGGAGGATGAGGGGTGACCTTAGAGAAGTTTATAAAATCATGAGGGGCTTAGATAAGGTGAATAGCAAAGGTCTTTTCCCTAGGGTTGGGTGAGTTCAAAACCAGAGGGCATAATTTTAAGTTGAGAGGAGAAAGATTTAAAAGGGACCTGAGGGGCAAAATTTTCACACAGAGAGTAGTTTATATATGGAATGAACTGGCAGAGGAAGTGCTAGATGTAGATATAGATAAAACATTTGAAAGATATCTGGACAGGTCATGAATAGAAAAGGTTTAGAAGGACATGGGCCAAGTGCAGGCAGACTAGTTTAGTTTGGGAAGCTAGTTCGGCATGGAGAGTTGGACTGAAGGGTCTGTTTCCATGCTGTATGACTGTATAGTTACATGAGTTAAAATTTAAAAAAAAAACAGGATAATTATCTTCAGGAAAAGAGGGGAAAGATGTCCAAATGTGATGGATTGGGGTACATTGTCTTGACTAACATTTGACTTTAATTCTCTTTACAGGCTCCTAAACAGTATCCATACAATAACCTGTACCTGGAGAATGGAGGAGCACCTGACAAAGAAATGCCCGAAGTGCCCAATTATAAAATATGACCAGTCTTCTTTGTCTGGTTGTCAGGCAGTATTCATCTTGGAATGGTCTCTTATTCTGTACAGTTAAGAATGTAATAAATATCTGAATATTAATGATTGGCATCTCATTTATGGAAAATAAAAATGCTAACGTTTTAGGGATTATCCCTGCAGTTATGACGGAACAAAGAAATAGACAACATAAAAGAATCTAACCTTCTACCTTCCTTTTTGAAGTCTAAGCTTTCAATCAAAATAGATTTTGTAATCATGATTGATGGCTGCATTCTCTGTTGAGTCATTACTTCTTTTAGCTACGGGACCCAATGTGCCACTGATCTGATTATCTGATTTGATCATGGACAGCATGCCATTGTCTTCAGCTGTGAATCACAACTCAGTCTCAGATTTTAGGTCAAAATGCGAAAATATATGAAAGTGAGAAGTGATCTTATTATAACATACAAGTTCCTGAGGGGACTTGACAGAGTGGATGCTGAAAAGATGTTTCCATTTTGGGAGAAACTATACCTAGGGAGCTGGCTTAAAAAATGAGTTTTTGATATCAAATTGAGATGAGAATTTTTTTCCCTGAGGATAGTTAATCTGAAGTTCTCTTTCTTCAAAAAGAAGTGAAGGTAGAGTCATGGAACATTCTAACACTAAATTAGATATATCCTTTGACTCCCATGTCAAACAAATCTAAAAGGAAGAGGGTAGAGTTGAGGCTAAAATTAGATCAGCCAAGACTTTATCAACTGTCAGAGCTCCTGTTCCTAATTCACATGTTTATATGAAAAAAAAATTAGTACATAAGTAAACTGAATGGATATATTCAAAGCAATGAAACTCTTTCAATTGTTGGGAGTTAACATTGAAATAGTATGGCACGGACATCAAACTTCTTTGTGCGAGGGGCCATGTTTCAAGTTCTTTTGCGCTCTGGCTGGTGAGAGTTTCAGAAAGTAAAGGCAACAGACAATAGAATTAATCACAGCAACTAAAACTGTGCATCTTTATGCACGTGTGTGTGCTCGATGAAGTTTCGATAGGTTTAGCAAAGTGTGACAGTAAAGTTTGCATTTTATTCCACCTCCCCCACATACAGGCAGGCTCTCTCCCTAGTCCAGCTGTCTCGTCTTAATGGTGGATCTCCTCTTGTACGCTTTCTTAGAAAGGAAAATAATTCTAAGGCCATTCAGCCCTTCAAGTCTGCTTTGCCATTGTGTAAGGTCATTGCTAGTCTGATTGTACTCGCACTTCCATTATGAGTGTGTTATCCCTTGACTCCATTATCCATCAAAAATCTTACTCGCTCTTCACCTTAGACTGTCATAAGCATTAGACTGTCAATACTGAAGAAAAATATAGATCCTGTTCAAGTACAGAACTGTTCACTAGAAGCACACAAATAGTAGATTTGCTACAAAAAGTATTCCAGAAATGTAGGCAGAGATTCACTTAGAATAAGGACATCATAAATATGTAATCCACCAGGCTATTTGGATACGAATAACTGTAGATAGTTTGTTTGAATGGGGACGTAGATACTTCAGTGCAGGTTTTAATAAATGAATTAGATTTCTCTGTTTTCTGTATTTATATTACTGCGCCATCATTAACCAACCTGTTCCTTTGCCCAGGAAATTTGTCTCTTAATCTGTTATAAACATCCCACTATTTTAAATGAACTTGTATCCATTGATCTGTACAGGTTCCAAGTTAAGTCAGATTTAATTAGCATTATTTTTAAATAAAATAACATCTTTAAGAAGACCAGTCTTTTAGATTGCATAAGATGTTAATTTGTTTATATATCACTATTTTTAAGCAACAAGTAGTCTGTATCTCTGGTATTTCAGCAGTGTATTCACACAGCACTCCATATTGGGGCAGGATACTGCTTGCTGTGAAATAGTGGCCTTCTAGAAAAGTGCATTTGTGAATTTCAAATATTGCATTGTATCAATCAACTTAACACTTACAGTGGTGGGTTAAGGTTGATTTAGGAGTGATATTAACCTCTGTAAATTGGAATTCTAACCTATCCTTGCTTTGAAGTCCTGGCATTTTGCCAAGTTCAGGCCAGTAGCTTGGTTTAAATATGAAAAAGACAGTGCTCAAGTTTAAATTTGTTTACTGAAAGAAAAATGTAAGAGGAAATCTTATTATCTGGATGTTTCCGTGGAAAAGTTGATCTATTTTCTTGCCCAGGATTTATCAAATCACCCTTCCACTTGGAACCTCGAGTAGCTTGACATCATCCAGGCCAAAGCAACCTGCTTGATTAGCACCCTATCTTATACCTTAATGTTGAGTTCCTTCACTGATATAGTGGCTACTGAGAATATCATTTCCAATATGCACTACAGCAACTCACCAAGGCTGCTTAGATGACATCTACTAAACCTTCAAACTCTACTTAAAAGAATAAGGATAGCAGTTACAAAGGGACACCACTACCTGCAAGTTCTCCTCCAAGCCACATGTCATTCTGACTTGAAAGTCCAACAACAAACATAATTTAACAATTAGAAAACAAACTGATCAAACTACCAGTTTTTCACACAGCTATAAGTAGTAATCTTATAATTTTATACTGTGGTTGGTTTGCTCGCTGAGCTGGTTTGTTAGTTTGCAGAAGTTTCATTACCCTGCTGGGTAAAATCATCAGTGCAGCCTCCGATGAAGAGCTGTTGTGTTTTCCTGCCTGATATTTAAACTCTGGGATCCGTTGGAGTTGATTACCTCATTTCCATTTTTTTCTTTGCAGTGGTGTATATAAGAAAAACCAGAAATGAGGTAATCAACTCCAACAGTTCCCAGAGTTTAAATAACAGGCAGGAAAACACAACAGCTCTTCATTGGACGCTGCACTGATGATGTTACCCAGCAGGGTAATGAAACATCTGCAAACTAACGAACCAGCTCGGTGAGCAAACCAACCACAGCATCCACAACCCGAGCTACAAATCTACTCAAGAACCTTATTATTTTATAGTATAAGTGTGTTGAAAGAAATCTGGATAGCCCCAAATTAATAAGCAAATAACAAACCAATAATGTGATGCTTCAGCATATCAAAACCTTTTTGTAGGACAGTCAAGACTTGACAATCATTTCTATTGTCACAATTGATGCACCACTGACAACCATATCTTTAATTTGACAGCTTTAGGCTGAGGTAGTTAATGTCTCTACCCTCTCATACACTTCTTAAATCCACCTCTGCCCTCATGTTTCATGTGTTCAGTGTCAGATTTTTTATGCTTAAGAAAGCATATAAGATACTTGCCTTTATTCGTCAATGCGTTGAATACAAGATTAAGGAGGTTGTGATTGATCTGTGTATGATATTATTTAGGCCACAGCTGAAGTATGTGTGCAGTTTTGGTCACCACACTGTAGGAAGGATGTGATTATATTAGAGAGTATGCAGAGAGAATTGCCAGGACGTCGCCTAGGCTGGAATAATTCAGCTATGAGATGAGATAGGCCGGGATTTTTGTTAGAGCAGAGAAGGCTGAGAGGGGGATCTGACTGAGGTGTACAAAATTACGAGGGCTATAGACTTGTTAGATAAGGTGAAATTGTCCCTTGGGTTCCTGTTTCTCGGGGTCACTTTTAACGAAAGACACAGGAGATTTAGAAGGGATTTGAGGATGTTTTTTACCCAGAGGATTGTGGCTCTTTTTTATTCATTCCCAGGATGTGAGTGTCACTGTCTAGGCCAGCATTTATTTCCCAACCCTAATTGGCCAGAGGGCAGTTAAGTATCAGCCACATTGCTGTGGGTCTGGAGTCACGTGTAGGCCAGACGAGGTAAGGACCGCAAGTTTTTCCCTACAGGACACTAATGGACTAGATGTGTTTTTTATTTCATGTCAATTGACAATGATTTCATGGTTATTAATAGACTCCTAATTCCAGATACTTATTGAATTCAAATTCCACCCTGCTCCTCAGAACATTACCGGACGATTATTCCACTAGGCCATCACCTCACTAATATCCGGAACTCACCGCCTCAAAGAGTGGTAGAGCCATGAGCCCCTCAAGACATTTAAGAACTATTTAGATGAATACTTGAATGCAATGCATACAAGACTACTGGCTAAGTCCTGGAAAATAGGATTGGAAAAGATGGATTTTTGATGACTGGCACGGACAGTGTGCTGAAGGGTTTCTTTCTTAGCTGTAAAAACTATGACAGGGAAAATTAGCCATTTGGATACAGAACTGGCTCGAAGGTAGAAGAGAGAGGGCGGTGGTGGAAGGTTGTTTTTCAGACTGGAGGCCTGTGACCAGTGGTGTGCCACAAGGATCAGTGCTGGGTCCACTGCTTTTTGTCTTTTATATAAATGATTTGGATATGAACATAAGAGGTATGGTTAGTAAATTTGCAGATGACACCAACATTCGGGGTATAGTGGACAGCAAAGAGGGTTACCTCAGAGTACAATGGGATCTTGATCAGCTGGGCCAACGGGATGAGGAGTACAAATGGAGTTCAATTTAAATAAATATGAGGTGCTGCATTTTGTAAAGGAAAATCAGTGCAGTACTTATACACATAATGGTAAGGTCCTGGGGAGTGTTACTAAATAAAGAGACCTTGGAGAGCAGGTTATTAGTTTGTTGAAAGTGGAGTCGCAGATACATAGGTTAGTGAAGGCAGCGTTTGGTATGCTTGCCTTTATGGATCAGTGTATTGAGCATAGGAGTTGGGAGGAATGTTGCAGCTGTACAGGACATTGGTTAGGTCGCTTTTGGAATGCTGCATGCAATTGTGGTCTCCCTGCTATAGGAAGGATGTTGTGAAACTTGAAAGGGTTCAGAAAAAATTTACAAGGATATTACCAGTGTTGAAGGGTTTGAGCTATAGGGAGAGGCTAAATAGGCTGGGGCTATTTTCCTTGGAGTATTGGAGGTTGAGAGGTGACCTTATAGAGGCTTGGATATGATAAATACACAAGGTCTTTTCCCCGGGGTGGGGGAGTCCAAAACTAGAGGGCATAGGTTTAAGGTGAGAAGGGAAAGATTTAAAAGGGCCCCAAGGGGCAACTTTTTCATGCAGAGAGTGGTGCATGTATGGAATGAGCTGGTAGAGGAAG